GGGGTCTGCGAGGACCAGGGGGGCTCTGGGGGGTTTGGGGTCTGCGAGGACCAGGGGGGCTCTGGGGGGTCTGGGGTCTGCGAGGATCGGGTGGGGCTCTGGGGGGTCTGGGGTCTGCGAGGACCGGGGGATCTCTGGGGGGTCCGGGGTCTGTGAGGGCCGGCGGGTCTCTGGGGGGTCTTGGGTCTGCGGGGGCCGGGCGGGGCTCTAGGGGTCCGGGGTCTGCGAGGACTGGGGGGGCTCTGGGAGTCCAGGGTCTGCTAGGGCCGGGGGGCTCTGGGGGGTCTGGGGTCTGCGAGGAAGGACTGGGGGTCCTCTGGGGGTCGGGGGTCTGCGAGGGCCGCGGGCTGGAAGGGTAGGACCATGGAGTCTGCAGGGGCCGGGATTCCGTGGGGGACTGTGGACAGCAGAGATACTGGGGGTGGGAGGAGGGGTCTTCAAGGGCAGAGGGATCGGGGCTGCTGGGGAGACCCGGAGGGTCCTGGGGGCTGCTCTGGCGTCATAGAGTTTAGGGTGAAGGGGTGGGGAATGCGGTTGTCTCAGAGCTTGGGGAGGCTGGGGGTGCCAGGGTAGTTATGGACCGTGTGAGCAGAGGAGGAAACAGCGGAGGTCAGACCCCAGGGCCAGGGCCAGCTGGGAGGGGATGGAGGTCGTAGGGGCTGCGGGGTTGTCCCGGGGTGGCCTGGAGTACTAGGGGTAGCTGAAGGCATGGGGACCATGCTGGGGAGACGGGTAGCCAGGCGACCGGGGGATACTGCCCCGAGTCCTCAGGCTCAGGCTACCGTGTGGCCCTCGGCAGTCTGGGGGGAGGTCTTGGGTCTCAGCCAGTGCCAGAGCCGCTCAACCCCCTAGACCAGGCCAGGGGCTCGTATGCCCTGCACCAGCCCCCTGTCTGGGGGGCCCCCCTCACCCCCTAGACCCGGCGGGGGCTCTTCTATCCTGCACTAGCTCCTGTCTGGGGGGCCACCCTCATCCCCTAGACCAGGCGGGGGCTCTTCTGCACCAGCCCCCTGTGTGGGGGGGCCCCTCATCTCCTAGACCAGGCGGGGGCTCTTCTGTCCAGCACCAGGCCCCTGTGTGGGGGGCCCCCCACCTCTACACCAGGCGGGGGCTCTTCTGTCCAACCCCAGCCCTGTGTGGGGGGGCCCCCCTCACCTCCTAGACCAGGCGGGGGCTCTTCTGTCCAGCCCCAGCCCCGTGTGGGGGGCCCCCTCACCTCCTAGACCAGGCGGGGGCTCTTCTGTCCAGCACCAGCCTCCTGTCTGGGGGGCCCCCTCACCTCCTAGACCAGGTGGGGGCTCTTCTGCCCTGCACCAACCCCCTGCGTGGGGGTGCCTCCCGAGGCTGAGCTTCAGGGCATGACGGGAAGCCTCCCAGCAATGGGTGGGTGGGTGGGGGAGGCAGCCACCTGTACTGTTTGGGTTCCTGCCCTGGTGCTGGGCTTTCCAGAAGTGCACCCTCGTCAGACCGGTAGGAGAGTCCTGCCTTAGAGAAGGCGGAGGAGGACAGGTACAGACGGGGAGCCCCGACTTTGCAAGAGCCCTTCTACTGTTTTTACTTTACGGCGGATGCACAGGCTGCATGAACTCACAGTGGAGTTGTTCAAGTTGACATTTTGGCCAGAAACTTCCTTCCTGTTTCCTTAGGGCCGCCTCCTCCACAAACTCCCCCGGAGTCTGGAGCTGAGCTCCTTCCTGTCCAGAGGCTTCTGGCCTGCAGCCTCCCGGGGAGCTGGGCAACCCTCTCCTCCCTCTCCCCCCTGCATGGGAGTGGGAGCCGCGGGCTGTGCTCGCTCCATGGGCCTGGGTGCGCTGCCCCTGGCGATTGGGTGCGGCTCAGCGCCCACAGAGGGTGGGGCATGATGCTCTACTTCGTAAAAGTTTTCATCAGCCCGGTTTTCTTTTCTCTTCGATCCAAAAAAAACCCGCACGAAACATGACCGCAGGAGGCGGTGGTGTTTAGTGAGCTAGAGACCCGTTTCCGTGGCACGGCAGAGAGCACACTGGTTTGTCCTGTGCCGGACGGTGCTCTGCGGCGCCCACCTGACCGTCCGTGTCTGTGTTCCAGGCCCAAGGCCCCGGCTATGGCAGCGGCTACCATAGTGCACGACACGTCGGAGGCGGTGGAGCTCTGCCCGCCGTACGGCCTGTACCTGAAGCCCATCACCAAGATGACCATCAGTGTGGCGCTCCCGCAGCTGAAGCAGCCCGGGAAGTCCATCTCCAACTGGGAGGTGATGGAAAGGCTGAAGGGCATGGTGCACAACCACCAGTTCTCCACGCTGCGCATCTCCAAGAGCACCATGGACTTCATCCGCTTTGAGGGTGAGGTGGAGAATAAGAGCCTGGTCAAGTCCTTCCTGGCCTGCCTAGACGGCAAGACCATCAAGCTCAGTGGCTTCTCCGACATCCTCAAGGTGCGCGCCGCCGAGTTCAAGATCGATTTCCCCACCCGCCACGACTGGGACTCCTTCTTCCGTGACGCCAAGGACATGAATGAGACGCTGCCGGGGGAGCGGCCAGACACCATCCACCTGGAGGGCCTGCCCTGCAAGTGGTTCGCCCTTAAGGAGTCAGGCTCCGAGAAGCCCAGTGAGGAGGTTCTGGTCAAGGTGTTCGAGAAGTTCGGGGAGATCCGCAACGTGGACATCCCCATGCTGGACCCCTACCGGGAAGAGATGACTGGCCGCAACTTCCACACCTTCAGTTTCGGGGGACACTTGAACTTCGAGGCCTACGTGCAGTACCGCGAGTATGTGGGCTTCATCCAGGCCATGAGCGCCCTGCGCGGGATGAAGCTCATGTACAAGGGTGAGGACGGCAAGGCCGTGGCCTGCAACATCAAGGTGAGCCCCTGCCCGGCTGCCTGCTCTGGCCCGTTTCAGAGTTGGGGGCAGGCCCCTTCAGGTGGTTTGGTGGCCATGGGACAGCTGGCTGCCCTCGTTCATTGAGCAGAGGACCCATCACAGCCGGCCTGGTGGCCTCGGTCCAGGGGGACGGCGGGGCCCTGGTAGCGGGAGGGGACACGCTGTCTTGGAAAAGGTGACGTTCTCCTTTCCAAACAAATGGTGCGGGCCAGCCGTGTCTGTCAGTGCGTGCTTCCCGCTTGAATTGCCGGGGGAGTTCACGGTTGAGCCCCAAAGTGGCTGTGTGTGTCCAGATGTGCCTGTGGGATCTGGACCCCACATCCTGGGCAGGCTGCATTCAAGTCGGGGTTCTCTGGAATGCACGCGTTCCATGCAGTCGGGCAGAGCCTGCTGCGTAGCGGGTGCCACCTTGGTCTGAAGCATGCCTGTGTGTGATTGTGCTCTGCACTCTGTTTTCCGCCGAAGGTTTCCTTCGACTCCACCAAACACCTGAGTGACGCCTCCATTAAGAAACGGCAGCTCGAGAGGCAGAAGCTTCAGGAGCTGGAACAGCAGAGAGAAGAACAAAAGCGTCGAGAGAAGGAGGCCGAGGAGAGGCAGCGAGCGGAGGAACGGTAAGTGTGCAGACACGGGGCCTCCCCACAGCCGGCTGGACGCTTGGGTGCGCACGTGTGTCTGTGTGCACGTGTGTGTGCGTGTGCGTCTGGGAGCGCGCGTGTCTGCGTGTGGGTGTGCGTGTGTGCGTCTGCGTCCACGTGTCTGTGTGTGTGTCTGGGTGCGCGTGTGTCTGTGCATGTGCGTCTGGGTTCATGTGCATCTGGGTGCGCATGTGCGTCTGCGTGCACACATGTGTCTGTGCATGTGCGTCTGGGTGTGAGTGTCTGTGTCTGGGTGCATGTGTCTGCATCTGGGTGCGTGTGCGTCTGGGTGTGCGCGTGTGTCTGCCTGTGCATTGGTGTTCGTGTGCGTCTCGGTGCATGTGTGTGTGTGTCTGTGTGCGCGTGCGTCTGCGTTTGCGTCTGGGCACACGTGTGCGTCTGGGTGCGCGCATGTGTCTGCGGGCACGTGTGTCTGCGTGTGTGCGTCTGTGTTCGCTGTGTCTGTGCATCTGGGTGTGTGCGTGCGTCTGGGTGTGCGCATGCGTCTGCGCGTGTGTCTGCGTGTGCATCTGGGTGCATGCGTGTATGTGCATGCGCCCCCCTCAGAGGCCTGAACCGCGCCTCCTGTTTCCTGGCTGTCGTGCACTCAGCGCGGAGCTCCGTTAGCCACCTGGATGGGACACCTGACGAAATCGGCCACGTTCTAGTAGGAACGGTTTCTATTTACAGGCTGTCATCGATTGCTTTTCAGGTCATTCAGACGTCAGGGGGCACGCCAGGTGACCGTTCTTGCCCCCGTTGCTCTTCTGCCTTCCCCCTGCTGCTGGGTGCACCTTCCCCTCCAGCGCAGAGGGAAAGGCGACGCTGGACTTAGATTTTGCTCCGGAGTCCAGTTGTGGGGCAGTGGGTCCAGACTGCGTGCGTTATTCCTGACCCAGCTCCATGTTGTTTCCCAAGGGGAGGCGGCTCACTGGCATGTGCAGGCCGGGCCGTGTGTGGGGGCGTGGCTGGGGTGGGGGAGCCCCATGCAGCCGGCGGGAGCCCCAGAGCGAAGCAGACGGCTGGGGCAGGAGCACGCTGGCTGCAGAGCCTTGCTGCAGATGCTGCCTCTGGAGCCAGTGCCGTGGGTTGTATAGTGAGCGACCCCTCCCTGCATTCGCACGCCCCTGGGCCGCAGCGGGAAAGGCCGAGGTGGTGGGCTCTGGCAGACGCTGGGAAGTGTGCACAGCAGCCCAGTCCTTGTCCTGAGCACTGACCGTGACCACATGCCCCCGGGCCCCCCCACAGCCTCTCAGGAGGCACTGGGGCGGGGGGGGTCTCACCAGAGGCACGGTGTCCTGGACCTTTACAGTCGGAACAAGCGGGCACTTGGCTTTTGAGAACGGGCCTCTCTGTCTGTCTGGGCTGGAAGTGTGATGAGGACAGACAGTTCCTGGGGAGCAGGCAGCGCCTCTGCTGTGCTCAAGGGGTGCTGGTTAGGGGCAAGGCTGTCCCCGCGGAGCCCACTGCCGCCCCCCATAGCCCTTTCTCGGCCTGAGGTGCAGGCTGGCCCCGGGGAGCGTGGATGCCCGTCCTCGGTCACTGATGTGTGTTCATTTGGCTGGTTCCGTGTCACGGAGGGGCGGAGCGTGGCTGGTAGCTGTCCTGCTGTGGCACGTGACAAGCCCCGGGCCTCCAGGTCCGCCTCTGCTCAGAGCTGTGCCTGCCTCTGGGGGCCCCCAAGGCTGCTTGGACCCACGGCTCTTGTAGCTGGTGGGGCCTGGACACCGGCTGTGGTGGAGCCTTCCCACACGTGGCCCTCTGTGCCCACTGAGGCCCTGCAGCTTTTCCCGCTTGCTGGTGCAAGCCCCTGGCCCCGTGCCTGCCTGGGGCCACGAGGGGGTTTGTGTCCTTGTCCGTTCCCCCAGGTGCGAGGTCTCTGCGACTCTTGCGTCACCTGGCCGGGTCGCTCTTCCGCAGCCTCTGGGCTTCCTGCCTGGGCGTGGGGGTCTCACCTCGTGTGTCCTGTCCCACCCAGGGCAGCTCTCAGTGTTTGACCGCATCCATCGTTTATCCGACTAATTTTGAAGCCAAAGTGCGGGTGAGGGTGTCTGCAAGAACCACACACCCCGTGGTTCTTGCAGATTTTCTCTGTGGGGGTCTCTGTCTCTGCTGGTTGCATTTCGATCCTCATTTTGCCCCCCCGCCCCCCCGAAAGCAATGGATCTAATCTGTTGTGCTTGGTATGGGTTTATTTTAAAGAAAACCCACCATGTCCAGGTGGTTTTTGTCTGGCCACGCGACAGGGTTTCCGTACGCGGGTACACGCTCTCAGGGACCCCTGGTCTGCGGAAACACAGCCCAGTGCATGCCGTCCTTGGTTTTCTGTCACTGGGGGGTTTGCGTTTTCTAGACTCTCCCAGAAAGGGCATCACAAGGTACACAGTTTTCTGCGTTTAGTCTTTCCTTAGCAAAGTGTTCCCAGAACCGTCCATGTGGCCGTGCACATGTGTATTCCATTCCTTGCAGCGGCACCCCACGGCCTGTTTGCAGAGCCCTGGTGATGGACGCTTTGTGCCCAGTGGGAGACGTGTCAGCATGGCCTGTACCCTGAGTGGTTCTCAGCTGACGGCCGTGTGCAGTGAGTTCACTGCCCGGGCCCCACGGTGTCGGATGGGTTGGCGTGCTGGCGGGCTGTGGAGCGTGTCCTGACGCTCCCGTCCACCCCCTGCACTTTCTCCCGGACACGGGCTTTGCTCCGCCCGCTTGTGTGCATCCTCCCTTGTGAGGCAGGAACACTGTGTGTCAGGTTCCGGCTGGCGCTGTGGCAGGAGGTCCCCCGGGCCGCGGTTGGCCTGTGTACCTCTTGCTGTGTCTCGTTCAAACGCGAACTTTCTGTGTCAGTCAAACCTACCCGTTCTTCTCTTCGTGTCTGCAAGTTCATTAGCAAGACCCTCCCTTGAAAGGTTCTGAAAATCCTGTCAGTGTGCGTCTCCACGTGCCCAGTTGCTTGGATTCAGCCGAAACCTGTCTGGGGGATAAAGCATTAAAATGACCGCTCTCCTGAACGTGCTCCACTACCCGCCTCTTCCCCCCGGCTTAGCTCTCCCACTTGGCCGCGGCCTGAGCGCTCAGCTGCAGTGTGCCGCCTGTGCTTAACGGAGCCCTTCGTGTATTTTGCGCAGGAAGCAGAAGGAGCTAGAAGAGCTGGAGAGAGAGAGGAAGCGAGAAGAGAAGCTGCGCAAGAGGGAGCAGAAACAGAGGGACCGCGAGTTCCGCCGGAACCAGAAGAAGCTGGAGAAGCTACAGGCGGAGGAGCAGAAGAAGCTGCAGGAGAAGATCCGGCTGGAGGAGCGCAAGCTGCTGCTGGCTCAGCGCAACCTGCAGTCCATCCGGCTCATCGCTGAGCTGCTGAGCAGAGCCAAGGTACGGTGGGCGGGCACGGGTTCTCTTGTCCGGCAGCCCGGGCTGCGCCGTCTCCCACTGCAGGCCACCGTCTGCGCGTCTCTGACACGTGCGGCCAGCGTCACCGCCCCCGTCCCACGGCTGGTCGCAGCCACAGACGAGAATGAGCGTTAGGACCGACGGGCAGACCGTCAGCTGGTAGTGTGTGTGGCCTTCCTACCTCGCTCCAGATTCTAGAATGTGCTGTTGTCTCGCGGAGCTGGGAGAACTTGGACTTAGCGTAGCATGTATTCACGCCTCCCAGGCACGGTCCCGAGAGCCTTCAGGGAGCTGGGGCGCAGGGTCACCCTTTGCCCCGGAGCAAGGGAGTGGCTGAGCTCACTGAGAGTGCCCTGGCCCCCGTGGCTCTCTTCCCGCTGCAGATGGCTCTGCCCATGGCCGTCGGCACGGTAGGCTTTGTGCCGACCCCGCCAGCCAACGGCCAGGGGTGGCGGGAGGGTAGGGGCTGAGCCTGCTGATAGAGAGGGGCCCTGCGGCATCCCTGGGACCTCAGGGTGCACTGTGGAGCCTGGTTGGGCCACGTCCCTCCTCCGCAGCCGTGGACCTGACAGGTCTCAGCCGGTGCTGTACAGATGAGCGCCTCAGTGCTGAGAGCCTTCTCGTTCCTCCTACCCGCTCCTTCTGGAGGCCTGACGGTAACTCCTGCGAGCTGGGGGCCGGGGACACACGGGGATCTCGCCCGGCACTCCTTGTGCTTGGGCAGGCCGTGTGCCCCCGCGGAGTGAGGCGCGGGGCGACCCCATAACCTGTTGTCTAATTACAGTTGTGATAAGTCCCCGGGAAGGAGACTGGCAGGCGCGCTGAGACGTGGCAGCTCAGCTCTTGTTTCATGGTGAATATTGAAGATGCTAACCCAGCCTAGGCTCCGCACGTCCCGCGGCGGCCACGGCAGCGTATGTCCGCATCGTAATCTTAGCTCCCTGTTGCTGGTGACCGCTTGCGATCTCACGGCAGGTCCCGTGTGTGCCTCGGAGGGGCCAGGCCCCACCCGAAATGCCCGCCCTGGGGCTGTGCCACGTAGCTTGGCCACGGGGGTTCCTGCTCGCTCGGACGCATGACGGCCCGGGCGTGGTAGGGACAGGCGGGCCGCACTCCGGCCAGAGCGCCCACCCGGTACCCCCCAGGCCTCGGGGCATCTACAAACCCAGCGCCTGCTCGGAGCGTGCAGGGGACACGGAGGTACATGTCCGCGCCTTCCCCTTTGTGCTGCAGGCAGTGAAACTGCAGGAGCAGGAGCGGAAGGAGGAGACGCTGAGGCTGCAGCAGCTGGAGGAGAGGCGGCGGCTGCAGGAGGCCGAGCTGCGGCGTGTGGAGGAGGAGAAGGAGCGGGCCCTGGGGCTGCAGCGCAAGGAGAGGGAGCTGCGGGAGCGCCTGCTGAGCATCCTGCTGAGCAAGAAGGCCGACGACCCGCACACGCAGGATGAGCTCGGGGTCTCCCACGCGGACTTGCTGCAGCCCGTGCTGGATATCCTGCAGACCGTGTCGGCCAGCTGCGTGGGCGCTGCCTCCCTGCATCCCCTTGTGGGCCAGCCCCCCCCCAGCACCCCGAAGGAGACCCCGCCCCGGCTGGAGACCGACAGCACGCCAAAAAATGTGAACGGGAGCGTGGCCGAGGGGGCCCAGTGCAAGGAAAGCCTGAATTCTCGTCTTGCCGCCGCAGGTGACAGCTCCCCTGACAAGAGGTGCCCCGGTGTCCTCTCCTGCATTCCCGACAACAACCAGCAGCCCAAGGGCTTGCCCGCCGCCGCCGCCACCGCCTGTGACCAGAGCGTGCCCAAAAAGGACATCCGTTCTGAGCAAGACAAGTGCAACCGCGAGCCCAGCGGGGGCCGAGGCCGGGCCAGCGGGGGCCGGGGGGAGGACGACAGACACAAGCGAGAGAGGAGCCGGCCGCGGCGGGCTGGCAGTCGGGAGGACGGGAGGCAGGGACGGAAGGAGCGGCGGCAGCACAAGAAGCACTCACGCCAGGATGACAGCCCCCAGCGGCGGAGCGTGAGCCCCGACCACAGCCGGTCTCGGAGATCCCACAGCAGAGAGCGGTCCAGCCGGAGGGAGAGGAGCCGAGACCGCAGGGGCGGCTCGGGCAGGAAGCGTAGCCGCCATGGCCACGGTGACCGAGACAGGTCACGCTCAGGGTCCCCCAGCCGGCACCGCAGCGCATGGAACAGGTAATGCAGGGTGTCCCCCCATGCGGCCGCCCAGCGAAGACCAGGACCTGTGGGGCTTCTTGGCTCCTCTTCTGCCCAGCCTCCGCAGAGCACACAGCCAAGGAGCCACCCATGCAGGAGGGCCACGCGTGACGATTCTCCCTTCATTAACATCTGGCGGCCTTTCTGTTCCGAACGTGTAGTCCTCAATTGCTAGCTTTAGTTTTCCCTTAAAACTGTTGATCCGATAGCTTTAATGTCACCAATTCTCTCTGAATCAGGAAAAACGCACTGGCCGGCAGTGGTGAGAAGTGCATAGCCACCACGTACGTGCAGGCAGAGCAGCATTTCTGTCCCGTTTAGGGACACCCCCACGTATACTGACTTCATGGGAGGCACACTGCACGTCGGGGACAGATTGTCAGAATGGACAGCCATGGTCCCACAGGGCCCTGAAAATTTGAAAAAGGCTTGCCCTGGTGGTGTTTTTTTCCTTTTTCTTTTGTAATTTTAACTGATGATTGGGAAGCGCACTTGGCAGGATGCCAGTAGAACCCAGTGGTCGTGGCACGTTACGTCACGCATGGAGACAGTGCAAGTCCTTAAGATCAAAACTCAAACGTGCTGTCTTAAGGTATCGGCGCGTGGGGGGTGCTCCAGCATGGTCTGATGCTCCTTCCCTTCAGAAACATTAACGTGACAAACTGGTGATTATGCATTAAAAAAAAAAAAAAGATTGGTTAAAAGCTTTGGTTTCTAGTCAAGGTTAGTGTGTGTGGTTTTTTTAAGAAGCTGTTTTGCTAAATTATTTTTACTTGGAACGTTTCAAACAGATTTAAGGCTAAAAACTTGTTAAATTTTATAATCATTTGCTTCTCCAAGTGAAGCTCAAGAAATACTTAAAAATAGCTGTAATGTTTGCGTTAGGAAAGATGGTGTTTATTCCAGTTTGCATTTTTTGTGAAATAAAATCTTTTTCCAATGAACTAATACCTTCCATACTTTTTTTGTTTGTTTAAGCTTTTTGGGCTGTTATCGAACTGAGCCTAGTTTAGCAGGTTTGAAACTGATAGAAATCACTCGCTTTATTTAGAACCCCTGATAGGCAACGATGGCTTTCACAGTGCAGTTGTTATTGTAAAATAACCTCGTGAAGGAGAATCCTGGGTCCTAAGAAGCATTCGATTTGTTTACTGAGCACAAGTTTAGCAAATTCACTAAAGCAGGCTTTTTAAAGCTAAAGAGCCAGTTTTAAAAATGAATTAAAAGTAGAAGTGGTTCTTTTCTCACGTAGGGTTGTAGCAGGTAGGAGTCAATGCTCCTGCTGGGACTCCAGACTCCCAACAGTCCCTCCGTCTGTCTGCATCTAATTAGCACACAGAGCTTGTCAGCATATGGATGGCTGGCCCCGTGCCTCCTCCATCCCAGCTTACTTCACTGTCACAAACCAAGATGGACCCAGCAGATTCGCATCTTTCTTTCTCTGGCATGGATTTTGTCTTGTCTGTCACCTGCTGAGGCGAGGGTGCAAGATGTGCTCAGATGCCCAGGGATTGGAAACGCTTCTCAGAAATCCTGTCAGGGCCCCTGTAGCCCAGCACTGAACGTTAGCCCCATCACTGGCTCAGAACGTCCTGGGACCAGGTTTTGGGAAGTCAGGGGGAGGTGTCTGGGGCATGGGGAGATGTCTACCTGAGCTCAGGAAGGTGGGTTTCTGTGACTAATGTTTTCCAGGCAGAGGTCTGTATGATGGGAACAAACATGTTGTGTTCAAGGGTCAGGGAGTCAGTGTGGCTTGGGAGGTGTCAGCATGGAAGAGCTGACAGGAGACATAAGCACAGACCGGGTCACTTCCAACCTGGAAAGGACAGGTAGGAGGGCTTTAAACTGGTCGTGAGGTGATAGGAGAGAGCAAGGGTGAGGAGGGCGCTTGTGGCAACAGGTGTCAACCTGGAACAAGCTGGTGCATTGGGCAAGAGTTTAGGGAGAAAGGGGAAGGGAGGTGTAACTAGGGAGTGTGTGGCCTTCAGGAAGCATAGGATATATATGTGGCTGGGCGGGGGGTGGTGGCAGGAGGGGAGGGCCCTAGGAGAGCTGGAGAATGTCGGCCCTGGACCTACAGGATGGGGTGTCACCGGGGAAGACACTCAGGAATCTGAATTTTGAATACCCACCTCCACTGGTCTTCATGTACATTCAACCCCTGAGCTACAAGGAAGGTGGAGTGGTCACAGTGCTGTCCAGGCGGTTCCACCCTCACCGCCCCAGGGCCTGCTGGGTCTGTCAGTTATTGAACATAGGGTGGTGCTGACATCTGCAGCCATAATAGTGGTTGCAGCACTTTCTCCTTGCTGTTCTTGTCAGGTTTTGCCTTTTGTATTTTGACTCTTTGTTATTGGGCGCATACAAGTTAAGGATGATCCTATTTTGGGAGAACTGTCTCCTTGGTCATTTGTGACACTCTTTTTTACTCTTCGTAATTTTCCTTGTTCTGAAGTCTGGTGGCAAACGGGGAACAAAGGACTGTGTGGGGAAGAGGGGTTCATTATGGTTTATGGTGGAGTCCTAGCCACATACACAACATCACAGGGTGTTAGGAGGAAAAGGGTCATGGCTTGAGACATGAGTGTGTCCCTCAGGCCAGGTTCTGCACTTGACAGCAATGAAGGGCAGAGGTAGTTTGTCGTGATGTAGCAGGTAACCTTTGCAGGCCCCAGAGCAACACCATCTCAAATGTGGATCCGGAGCCAGAGCGCCTGGTTTTGAACTGCTTTCCCATGCACCTCTGCAGTGAGAATGGGGTCACCAGTGATGAGTGGGGTGGACGTGAAGGACAGCGTCGGCTCATCTCAGAGTTGGCACCCCTGTCCTCTTGAGTTGGGGTGGGATTTCTCCATGGTACCAGTATTTCCACTTACGTCCTAAGAAATCTGTTTTCTGTATGTGTCTTTAGCCACCAATAATGGCTCGTAAGAGGGAGTGGAGATCAATCGAAATACATGTGTCACCGGTTAGATTTTATCTTTGCAAATGCACGTGGATTTTTCTGTTTCTTGTGAGGCTACTGTGTTTCCCAGCGGGGTGGGCTAGGAATAGAGAACACATCCTGAAAGAATGGGATATTTGAACCTAAGGAGCGTTGTCCTATACGTAACCTGTTAGGCAAGGAGGGAGGTCGGTGTCTCCCTGTGTCTCTGGGTCTCTCTGGGTCTCTGTCATTGACAGCATTCTTCCCTGAGCCTCTTTCTGGGTGACCACCGTCATTATGTCATTATGGGGACCACCCCCTGATCTGTTGTAGTTCTGCCTGGCTGGGCTTTGACAAAAGAACAGTCCACTTGCTCTGAAACCAGGGGTGCTTAGTCTGAAACCAGGGGCAACAGAGTAGATCCTGGTTCGCTCCCTCTTCGGGTGAGTGAGCTTCTGCGGGCATGCTGGGCCGTCGATTCCCCTGTGTCTGCAGTTTGGGCCCCGGCCTGCCTCCCCCCACCCCCATTTGCCAAGAAACTCCCCTGTACCGAGTGTGCACTGTGTCACCCTGATCTGAAGCTGTTGGTACTGACTGATGCTTGATTGATGCCAGGGGTCACTGGCGGGGCCACCGTTTTCCTTGGCTGCGCCCTGAGGGAGGAACGGGGCAGGGATGTTCTCTAGACCTGAGGACATCAGGGGTCACCAGGGTGGGGGGATTGGGGACCCATTCTGAAGAGCACAACCAGTTTCTTTAAAATGTTTCCTGTCCGCTTGCGTTTTTGGGAAAACAGGTAAAATGCATGTTTGGGAAAAGGTTTGCAGCTATAAGCTGTGTGCAGGGGTGTCTGGAAGGGTCCTGCCTCAGGACAGGGCCTGGTTTCAGGTCTGCAGGTGTGCTGGGACCACCTGGGGGTGAGCTTATGGTGCCGGCTTCCCCTGGGCAGGTCTGGGGTCCAGGCAGCGGCCCTCTCCCCCACCAGCCCCCCCGCAGGGGGCTCCTTGCTGCCGCCCCGGGGGTATGCTGCATTCCCCAGCTGTGTAGCGTCACTGCCCACCCCTGCACCCCTCACTCACCTCTCCCTGCTTCCTCTGGGGCTTGGGAAGTACAGGTGAACCCAGGCTGTGGGGCTGCCCCACTGCCCAGGTGCATACGGGGGAGCCTGAGGTCCCACTTCCTCCTCCAGGCGGCCCATCTGCACCTGAGGAGGCCACAGCCTCAGGCCCCTGCGGTCAGCGTGCTGTGCACACAGGCCGCCATCTGCATCCTGCACAGCATAGATGCCTCCCCACAGCCCCCTTCATGCTCAGCTCCCGTGCACACCCCGGCAGGGGGCTTACCCTGATGCCGTCCCTGTCTGGCATGGACCCTGGGCTCACGTCACCCCCCACTGCTCCCGCACAATGGCCAGTGCCTGGCTGCGTGTCTGTGTCCCCCCGAAATTCATATCTGAATCCTGATCCCCAAGGTGGTGGGATTAGCAGGTGGGGCCTTGGGGAGGGGATTCGCTCATGAGGGTGTGGCCCCCACGAGCAGGATTAGCATCCTTATGAGACCCCAGGGAGCCTCCTGGCCTCGCCACTGTGAGGACGTGGAATAGACAGCCATCCGTGATCCAGGAAGCATGTCCTCACCAGACCCCGAGTCCACCAGCATCTGGGCCTCGGACGGTCACGCCCCGGAACCGTGAGAAATGCACGTGTTGTTCATAAGCCCCCAGCCTCTAGCATTACTATTCCAGCTGCCACCGCCGAGACACCAGGTAACCACCAAGTTGCTCTGGCGGGCGCCCATCTGGGGCTGAAGGCTATGTGCTCCCCCTGCACCTGGCCTCACTCCTGTCCGTCCCTCGGCCCCTTGCTCCCTGACACTGGAGTGTTCTGGCCTCCAACTTTCCCTGCAGGAGCACCCCTGGCGATACCCCGTGCCAGGCTCTGTGTGTGCCACATGGACGCCGACCCTTCCAAACCCAGGTGTGGACCCGGACCTGGGTGTGCTGTGGTCCGTGTGCCCACTGGCAACACTTCACTGGGCTCTGTGTCTGGCGCGTCTGC